GAACATCAATTGACTAGACATCTTTCAAATAATCGATGATTTAAGTTCGTATGCAAATCTCTAGATCGATAAACTAGGATATTCTTTAAAACTGGATGTAATTTGCATACGAATTTAATGTGAGCATACGTTGTAATAATCGGGCAAACCCGCGCGTGCCTCGGTCCGGCGCGGCGCCCCGCACTGCAGGCCAGAGGTGGACCGAAAGCCAACTAGATAATCGGGAAGTCTCATAATCTCACTTCACATGAAACCGGGTCGAAGATTATCTTCCTGGTAGTGATGAGGATATTCGAAGACGCAAATTGCAGATATATTTGTATTTATCCATCAGAAATTTACAGCTCAACAAAATTACATGTGTGAGAGGTTTAGTACCAAGAAATTTTTTTATGTGATTTTAATTTGAAAAACAGGGTTTTTAAAAGATGATGAAAAAAAATTACAACAAGATACTCACAAGATGATCAAGAGGGATCGTTCAGGGAGAAGAGTGGGATCATTGCTCATGATCGAAACTCACAATAAATCGAATTGAAATTCTTCCTGGGTCTTATGGGTCTGCTTATCATAATACTGGCGTCTGAAAAATATATAAAGAATGTACATTCAGTTTGTTGAATGTTCTGGGTATAGTATGGGGTCCTGAACTTCAATCTACATTTTTGTTTTTCACATAAAAAAAATTATTTGAAAATGAAATTATATCGAATGAGAACAACATTATATTTCAAAGGAGAAATTATACGTCGTCCTCTCTATCATTATCTTCAGAGTCATCTTCGCTCTCGCTGTCTGAAGATGATTCTCCAGAGTTGTCATCAGTACCTGCACCGAACATTAACTCTCAGTTGAAGTCTCAGAGATTATGATATCACCAACCTCTGCTGAAAGAGCTTCACCAAGGTACCAATGGAAATCGTACCCAAAAAAAGTATCAAGGGCCCAGCCCCCTTCATTATTTTTCATGTAACTGACAATGACATAACTTCATCAAACCCAGTATAGTTGAGTTTAGCGATAAAATTCACACGCTGCACTTATATACAGGGTTACTGGTAATCCGATTCATACCACTGGTAGGGAAGGCAGTAAGAAGTGAATAAATCTGTAATATACATTATACAAAAGTGAATGATTTTTGAGATATTTAAATATCGGATCTCCGACCAAAGGGAAAAACATTATTGAATGCCTACTAAATCATTACGTGCTACACTCTACCCGGCTGCTGCAGCAAATCATTGTTCAGATATGAAAATTGTTTCAGCAAAAAAAAGGAAATACTTCAAACCCAGGATTTATATTTCTGGCACAATTTGACAATTTGGCACATGATTGCTATAACAGTGCTGCGTGTAAATGATATCGCTAGATGCTGTAGAGCTGTATTCGTCATAATAATCTCAACTCGATAGTGGGGTAAAGAATAGTGTTTCAGTAAAAAGAAATCAACAACTACCCAATAGTTTATTCGTTATGAACAACCTGTGAATTTTTTGATAACAATGAAAAATCTCTTAGGAAAATCATTTTAATTGGTTTTTGAAATTTTAAAATCGGTTCAGAAACAACTAAGTTACAATGGGAGATATTTATGGTGAAACACCCTGTACGGAATGTGCAAATTGTATGCAAATCATCATCTCATATATACTGTGTGGTCCACTAACCATGGTCAAAATTTGAACATTTCTTCGATTATCGATTATTTGACGAATATCCAGTCAATTGATGTTCGAATAAGTCGAGCTCCCCTCTCCGGAATCGTATGCAAATAACGGGAAACTGATTAATGGGTCCGAATTTATTGTTTCGCCAAAGGGCATACATTCTTCGATCATCGACTATAACACTGAAAAATTTCCACTTCCGGTTCGTATGCCGCCCTTGGGGAGTGACCTAGGCGTATGCAAACCGGCAAGCGCCCCAATTCTCGTGAGATAAGATCATTGCACTTCATTGCCGAGCTTCTTCTTAAAAAAAATTTTGAAATTTTTTTCAACCGAAAGGTGAGGTCAGGGCCGGGGCAAGGACTGGGTTGCGACTCTCCGAGGCACTTCTTATTGTTAACTCGGACCGAGTGAGTGGGTCCCTTAAATGGCATACCGACTTAGAACATCGATAAACCCTGTGTCACGGGCCAACAGTCTATTAGAGATAAACGCTGCTAAAACCCTTCGAGATAAAGTAGGCAACCAAATTTCCTACAAAAAAGTCAGTGACAGCATATATCCATAGTTGATAGGATTAGCATGGGAGGCGTCCGAACTTTTTGAACTATTCTGTAATGAACACCTGAATCATCGTTCTACTTGAATTGAAATATCGATTTGTTGTTGGCCCTTGGGAATTTGAGAAAAAACTCAGTCAATCTAGATACTATGCGGAATCTTTTCATGATTGAATCATTTCTGTGAATTGAATATTGGAATTTTGGTAGCTGTTTGAAAAAGGACAATTCTGAATGGCGTCCACTAATTTTGATATGCCATATTTCTGAAATTAATGATCGTAAATCAGTGAAATTTGATTCATCTTCTGGAAAATTCTTTTCTATACATATTTGACCCTTTGATATTTTTCGCTAACTGTGACCGTTTTCCCGAGGTAGATCAATGAAACGGGAGAGACAATTTCCACTGCGTTGATTTTGTCCCTACTAGTGTGACGTCACGAAAGCGATGCTCCGGCCCGGTAAGATAGAGTAGGCCCTGGATGGATCTGGAAGATATGAGTTCTGAAGTTTAGCACGTCGCCACTCCCACCACTTGCGACAAATAAATCGCTCTATAATTTTTTCATGTTCAGCTTCGAATTTTTCTTCACATCCCAACCTTCTCAGAGCCTCAACGACGTATCTTTCTGTACTTTCAAACGCTTTCCAGAATGAAAGTTTGGTGAATAGATGTGAAGGGTGGAAGCACGAAATGTGATGTATAAACAGTGAAGAATTATTTTCATATCTGCTTCTCCTCTTGTGTGTTTTGAAATTCATGAACATCGTTTCCCTCCGATGACTTGGCTTCATTTCTCCAACTCACCACCAGATTCCTCCCGATGTTCTGTGCTCACAATTTTGCTTTATTATATGCAGTCAACTCGTCCTTCGTCTTATAATGAAACAAGAAAGATTTCGAAGCAACTCTTTTTATGTGAGTACTGTCAGTGATTTTGTACTCAACGGTTATTGCATTCCCAGCACTTTTCATTCACATGGAATTCTTGAGTGAATTTTCCAGGTACGTATTAATCACTAGATACTGTTACTGGTGGGGGACGTTTGCACGTCAGCAACTAGTCCCTAATGGGACCTTTTTGCAAGCCCCAAGGTGTTTTCAATGACTGATGTGGTTCGCTTAAGAGAGCTGGCTAACATCCTTTTCAGGCACCGCCCATCAGCTCTCTTTCAGAGTTTTTCGGCTGTGTTTTGTAGGCTAGTAATGTACTCACTACCATATGCTGCAGTGGCAGGCCTGCTAGCTATCCTCGTTAACCCCCGTTACAGACTGGGGTCCACTAAGCAGCTAGCCCGCTCTCACGCTCAGCTGGTAGTTTTCCACACCCACCTACATTCACCGTCCTACTTCTTCTCTGATGCTCACAACCACATCATCATCTCTTTCTGCGTGTTCTGTGTAGGCTTTGTTACTAACTCCATGCGCCACTTTAGGAGCAGCACTGTTAATTGGAACGCAACAGCGAATCGGCAGGACTATCCCCAGCCGATGCTCCGAAACTTTACAATATTCAATTCGTAAATAGAATATTGAAGAACAGTTCCTTGCCCGTGCTGGGAATCGAACCCACGACCTTGAGGTCGTGAGACGGACGCTCTTCCACTGCGCCAATCCCGGATCCGCCACTAGATAAGTTTCATATCGTACTTCAACAAACTATGTTCAATTTTTTGCTGAATTCAACTGCAAGATCGAAGCATGTCTTCACATGCTAAGGTTTGTGAAGGGCCGGTTATTATATGTATAATTCCATCAAGAACAGCTATAGAACAAAGTAGATCTCATATTTTGTTCTGGTGGATACACTCTCTTCCGTTACAGACATCATGCTTATCTTCGAGAATCTTCATCCACTTGCTTTTGTTCGAAGTTGAAATCATTGTTCCGTCTAGATTGAAGAAGCAAAACAGGGTACCGCTCTACGCTTTTATTCATACTCTTCATTTTTGCGAAACCAGGAAAACGATATTTTACCTTTGTTTAGTGCATTCAAATCAACCTATCGTCTTGTCATATCCTGTAATCGATTTTAAATGCAATTTCATCACAACATACATGTTGAAACATTGTAACATTCTGAGACTTCATCTTTCGCCATTTTGAAGAAGCCATCTCGAATTTTTTGATAAATTCATGATTTCCGACCTCGAAAATTACCATAATTTTGAATAATCTTGGACCATAATCACAAAACTTGTCCGCCATTTTGGAGCCAACATCATTTTATTTTATCTAACAAAAATTCCATAATGCATTGTCACCGGAATCATCTAATTCTGTCAAATTTCAAATCAATGGGACGATTATTATTCTGCAATAAAATTCAAGTCATATAATATACAAATCGGCCAAAATATTTACTCTACAGAACTATAACTCTGAAATGATAATAGATATCGAAAAAAAGTATAATAACTATTTAAATTCTTTGTTTTATTTCGAACAAAAATGTTCAGAATAAAAATGTTTGTAGGAACCACCCAACAAGACTTATTATAGGTCTGAAAATCGATGAGTTCTTTTAGTGACAGCCTTCTTGAAATTATTACGTCAAACTAGCCTCTGACATATTTTCAGAGAAAACACCTGTTGTTGAGTCATCATGTTATTCATAAGCTAAACATCCATACTAGTTCCACTTTTTCTTCATTTAAAATCCCACGGAATTAGATATATCGACTGATGCCCCTGCACTAGACATTTACCAATTAGATTTTATGTATTATGCCTTATAGTTCTGACCCGAAATCATTTTTTCAGATGAAGACAATGATGCAATCTACCAACAAGAAGCAAACAAAGAATTTATTTTACTCTGGATGAAACAAGCAATTTTATACTGGGAAGAAACAGAAACAATCAGCAGTACTCTCACTTGCACCTTTGCTTTGAATTTGATGGGCTACATGTGTAAAGATGAGCATATATTCTTGAAAATGAATCAAGAGAGAATGTTTGAACGATTGCTTGCAATAATAATTGACTATTTCAAATGTTTTGCAGTCCAACCGAGTATAGAACTTGCTTACATCAAATTGCTCTCCTCGTTTCTGAACCATGCCTCAGGTTTACAATGGATTATTTCTAATGAGCACTGGAAATTTGTTATGAACTCCTCCTTAAACCCGCATACTGTGTATATTTCAAGGGAAGGATATAAGTTTATGGCTAGTATGCTTGAGAAATCCACAATAGTTGACTCAAATTATGCCAAGGATATTCTGCATTCGCTTTTAACGCCTCTAATAAATGCTAGAAGTCAGACTAGTGAAAACGGCACTGCAATTGTGAGGGATGAGGAAGCACTTTACCATTCTATATCACCTATATTATCTCTCCTTACTAAAATGTTAGAAACATTTATGGAAAGCAAGAATGAAGGAAATATAAAGGATATAATACTGATGTTGGAAGAGCATTTCGATTTGGAAAAGACTCTCAGAGATCTCACGACATTTGTTAAAAAAGAAGATTTCCTCTTCGATTTGTACAAGATATTGACAATTTGGTGTTTTCTAATTGTATATATCAAATACAGTGAGAACCTAGTTGTTTTCTATGGGAAAATAGAAAATCAATTAATTGGCATATTCTATGATGCAACTTCACAACTAAATGTGTCAAACATGCTGAAACTATGTCACTTGAGCCTCATTTACTGGAACAATATGAAATCAAAAATACCTGCTAGTTCAAACTTGAATTCTTCAGAAATATCCCTAGAAAATCAATTGCTGGTATTACAGATATTTCCAGCTTTTGCTATGAGGAAATGTATAACTGATGAAGACGAGCATTACCGCTCTTTGTTCCTTCAAAAATTCTTTAGCAAAGTACCACCTCACACTCTCAGAGTCTGGTATAAATGGAGAATGCATTTAAAAGATACATTTTCTCTTAGCGACGGTATATTAGCTCTGAAATATTTCTTACATTCCAAACAATTCTATTATCGAGAAAATGCTGTTCTCGCATTTCAGTGCTTGATATACTTTGTGAAAGATATAACGGATCTCCTATACCAAAGACCTGACTTGATACATGGTCTCTTGGGTCAGCCAGATTATATAATCCTCATTCTAGAATGCATGAAAGTTATCATAGATGAGTTTACCATCACCTGGAAAGAAAGCGTTGAGACTCTGTGCATTCTATGTGTCACGAACTCCTTCCTCAGTGTTACTATATGGCCACCAAAGGTGAGTACCCTTTCTTATAAACATTTGTTTTTCTTGAAGTGATCAATTAGATCTACAGGGTGTCTCAGGTTTAACTTATCAAACTTCGACAATCGATAGAAAAACTGAAAATATTATACACTGACCGGCAAAAAAAATCGGCCAGCAAAAAATTTTGCCAAATCGACCGTCCTTTTTTAATTCTTCTTTTTCTCCGATTTTGATGAAATTTCGACCAAATCGTAGATTTGTATTTCGGAATGTGAACCTGAACTACAGTTCCTATCACTCTTAATTTGTTAACGCCCTGTGGTAAAGTGAGTGAATAAGCTTAGCTTCACCATGTTTTGGATCAAAGTATGATCCCTTCTCAACACAATGGTTTTTGATTCACGTCAATATCTCCTTTTCAAGAAGCGGTAGAAGTGTTTCAAGAAAATATGGCTTTTTTGAATTTGCAGAACCTGCATGAACTTATTGTTTCAGTATTTTTTGTCTCACTGTATCTTCAATATCCAGATAACACCAATCTACTTGAGAAATGACAGCCGACTATTGAAATATAAGACACTTTCCGGCGTCGAGGTGTCCAGGCGGCCTCCAGCCGGCCCTGATACACATTACCGGCGATTAAATTATTGACTCAGAAATGCTATAGCGGCAACAAATTTCAATGCACCATTGATGGGAGAGCTCAGCCATCAAGGTTTATGCGCTTGCAAATCCGTAAAGGAGGATCATCATCTAGCGAATTATATGAATCAATCGACGAGAAAAAGCTAACATTATGTGTCTTCCTGGATCTCGCCAAAGCTTTCGATTCTGCGGATCATCTGCAGTTGTTGGAGGCTTTGGAGAATGCAGGTATGCGCGGTAGAACTCTCACTTTTCGAAAGCTATTTGAATGCTAGTACACAGATAGCAAGTATCGGAAATGCAGTCAGCACTGAAAAGAAAGTGACTTGTGGCAAGGCACGGTATTAGGGCCACTAATATTCCCAATTTATGTCAACAACTTACTAACCTTGAACATCAAAGCGAAAATATACAGAGTGTTTGGTTATGGTGGGTTATCCTTTGATCTACTTTCGCCCTAGGTTTGCCGTGGTCTTTACGGGACACCTTGTATATGGTTGAATATGTTCAAAATCACAATGCCGTTCTTTTCGAAAATTTGTCGAAGTTGATAGAATTTATAATATAACTTTCCATTTTTTAATAAAACATATGCAATGTGATAGTTTCACTTCATGTATTGAAGTCATCAATCTGAATCTGAATAATTCTATCTATCTATTATTAAATTTAATTTTTCAATTTCATGGGCAATTTTTCATTTCTTTGCAATTAGGATCATGAAGTATCAACGATTCTTTTTCGTGGAGGTACTTTTTTCTTGTAGTAAAATACATGAAGTTGTTCAATAATTTTCACTAGTTGATGCCGTTTATTTAGACATGATTTAACAAGATCGTTTGGTAAACCTATTTGCTCCAGTTTTTTCAGTAGCATGTTGTGTGACACAGTTTCAAAGGCATTGGCCAAGTCTGGAAAGATACATAATTCCATAATTCCAACATCTCTTGTCCATGAATTGCCTGTACTTTTGACGCGATGTAATTGAATGTCAATTGAAAGTCAAACAACTCGAAACAAGTATATATGTAGAAACATATACTACTTGATTATCACCAAGTGGGTGTTTCTTCATGCCGAAAATTCGTTTCATAATGAAAAATTCATGTTTTCAGTGGCTAAAATCTGTTTCATAATGAAACTTCGTGTTCAAATGAACAACATTAATAAATCGGTGACAATCATGTAACACGCGTAAATACGGAAGAAGACAACGTTATTTTTTGATTTCTCGAGAGAAACCAATTTTGATATAGATTGATAGAAAATGTTGTCGACAATATTTAATAAAAAAATCCGCTTTTACATAATTATTTCATTGTCAATTTCAGATTGTCATCAGCTCTTTGCAACTTATGGAGAAAGCTCTCGTGAAACACATGACTCCAGAGATGGCGCTCTTGATAGATACTGGAGAAGATTCAACAATAAATTCTATACTTACTATGCTGAAGGCCAAATTACATGATTCTGATTGGGAGGTTCGAGACTCAGCAGTAGAAATGGTTCGAACAGTAATCGTTTCTGCCTATACAAGTGAGTTGATGTCGTCGGTTCAATGCTGAAACCTTTAATGTGCAGATGGGCGCATTGTATCTATACCCAACGTCTATATGAGTGCATTGACCCAATGCCCACATGTTCTCACCGCCCCGGCAAGGGGACATGTTTATGAGTATTGTTACTCGGTGTAACTGCCCCTACACCTTGTTACGATCCAAAAGTACCTATCATCGATTACGTGCTCGCTCACGCAAAGGGTGACACGAGGCCATATCTGACGGTGGATATTTTGGGCCAAAAGTTCCTATCCCTATTGGACTCGGGCTGTACTCGCACTGTTTTGGGAGAGAGGGGTTGGAAAATTCTTGAACCGTTCTGTCGACTACAAGAGGTTTCCGAGCAGCAATGCACGGTTGCTAATGGACACAGCTGTCCCGTAGTGGGGATGATTGCTGTTCCAGTGAACTTATGTGGTAAGGTGAAAATTTTCGAGATATTCTCTCTTCCACATACTCTTATACTTGGTATGGACTTCTGGTCAAGGATGCGAATCATTCCGGACATGTTCTCGGGGGAATGGAGTTTCCGGAACTCGGAGGAGGAGGAGTCGGCCCCACAGTATCTGAATTCTATCAGTACCCTATCGGACGTTCAACGCCGACAGCTAGATGCCTTGATTGAGGCAACTTTTCATTCTATGGGGACTAAACTAGGATGTACCAACTTAGTTTCTCATGTCATCCAGACTACCTCTCCCCCTCTTCGTCAGCGATATTACCCGGTATCTCCAGCACTATTGAAGCAGGTGCATCTTGAGTTGGATCAAATGCTCTCTGACGGAGTAGTAGAGCCCTCGTCCTCCCCTTGGGCCTCGTCTATTCTGTTGCTGCGAAAAGATGACGGTCGTTACAGATTTGTGGTAGATTTCCGGCAGCTCAACAAGGTCACGGGACGCCTACCCTCTGCCTTTAGTAAGTGCTACCCTGGATAAGCTACGGGATGCGCACTATTTGACCACTTTGGACATCAAATCTGCTTACTGGCAGATTCCCTTATCGGCCGAGTCAAAACCACTGACCGCATTCATTGTACCCAATCGGGGGCTCTTCCAGTTTACCCGGATGCCTATGGGCCTTCACAATGCTCCTGCAACATGGCAAAGGTTCATCGATCGGGTTATCGGGGTAGATTTAGAACAATACGTCTTCGTCTACCTCGATGACGTCATCATATGCACAGACACCTTCGATAAACATCTTCATATTCTGACAGAGGTTTTGGCGCGACTTGCGGGCGCGGGCCTGACGCTGAATAAGAATAAATGTCACTTTTGCAAGGCGGAACTCAAATACCTGGGCTATGTCGTAGGCTCATCAGGGTTGATGGTGGATCCAGAGAAGGTAGAGGCAATCGTTAAGATTCCTCCACCACGTACTGTTACCGAGGTGAGGAGACTTATCGGGCTGGCCTCCTGGTACAGGCGCTTTGTGCCAAATTTTTCCTCCCTTACTTCACCCCTCTGTGCGCTGCTGAAAAAGAATTCGAAGTTCGTCTGGGACGAGTCTTGTGATCAGGCCTTCCGCACTCTCAAGGACCATTTGATCACCGCGCCCGTCCTTTCATGTCCAAACTTCGAGCTGCCCTTCGTGATACAAACCGACGCATCGGACTACGGTATTGGGGCTGTGCTCTCGCAGGCTTCCGAGGAAGGGGAGAAGGTGATCTGTTACTTGAGTAGATCGTTAACGGCCACGGAAAGAAAGTTCAGCACCACCGAGAAGGAATGCCTGGCGGTGCTGTTCGCTATTGAGAAGCTAAGACCTTATGTAGAAGGAACGAGGTTCAGCGTAATCACCGACCACCACAGTCTCAAGTGGCTTAATAACATCAAGGACCCGGTTGGCAGGATCGCCAGATGGGCGGTGCGGCTCCAACAATATGATTTCGATATAGTCCATAGGCCCGGTCGCGAACATTGCGTTCCAGATGCCCTATCGCGAGCCGTTCCGGTTGTGGACTCTGTCGATGGTCCAGCTGATGAAGCCCCACCAACCACGAAGGACCCATGGTATCGGCGTATGATCGCCCTAGTGAAGGCCCGACCTGATCGCTATCCCCTTTGGCGGATAGAGGGGGTGCGTATTTTCAAAAAGACCAAGGTCCCTTATCCAGGTCTTTCGGAAGAATCCGATGGATGGCTGTTGGTGGTCCCGAAAGAAAATCGCTCGGAGATCATCCAGAGAAATCATGACCCTCCCACGTCAGGACACTTGGGAATCTTCAAAACATGTTCCCGGATAGCCACAAAGTTCTACTGGCCCAAACTTCGTCAGGATGTCGCGCGGTACATAAATAGATGCCAGACGTGTCTGAAGACCAAACCTGAGCAGAAGGCACCGGCGGGACTGATGCTAAGTGCTGGCCCTACGGTATCACGACCATGGGAGATTTTAAGCGTCGACCTAGTCGGTCCGTTACCTCGATCTACCGCGGGCTATACGTATATATTTTCAGTAATGGACATATTCTCTAAATTTATTCTCTTGTTCCCATTACGGGCGGCAACGGCGGCAAAAGTGACCACCTTGTTTGAGGAAAATATAATTCTTCTGTTTGGGGCTCCTCGACGGGTCATCATGGACAATGGGGTGCAATTTCGGAGTGGATCGTTCAAGTTGCTACTACAAAGGTATGACATTATCCCAGGCTACATATCAAATTATCACGCTCAAGCCAATCCGGTGGAGCGCAGCCACCGGGTTATCAAAACAATATTGACATCTTATGTTGCCGATAATCACCGCACCTGGGACAAGTTGCTCCAACAAGTGGCGTGCGCAATCCGGACGGCCCGACATGAAACTACAAGATTAACCCCAAATTTCGTTATGTTTGGCCGGGAGATAAGATTATCGGGACAAGACAAACACTTCTTGTCAGATGAGCTCGACCAAACACCTTTTGATGCAGTTATCCGAAATGAGGTTCTTGGCCGAGTTTTCGAAGATGTGAGTAAAAGAATTAAGGATGCCTTTATAAGGAGTAGTAAGCAATACAACCTTCGACGTCGTGACGAACGGTTCGTACTGAATCAACAAGTGTGGAAGAAAAATTACGCGATTTCGGACAAGGCTCGTGGAGTGACGGCAAAATTTCTTAACAAATTCGATGGCCCCTTCACGATTTCACGCATCGTCTCCCCCTGGTCCTATGAGCTTTCCAGTGATATGGGTAAAAGCGTTGGCGTATGGCATGCCAAGGACCTCAAGGCTCACCCTCCCGATACGGACTCTTCAGAAGAATAGAAGTTCTTCATTAGAAGTTTTTTTTCTTACAAAATAAAACTTCTCTCAGGAAGAGGGGGTGTTGTTACGATCCAAAAGTACCTGCTCTGATCTCAATGGGAAATCTACTAATTTATGCATTTAGATGAGAGAATGGTGCCAGATTCAGATATATCATACAAAGCCCTACGCTCATTTGCATCTTTATTTCAAGTATCATATTATAACAACAGATATAGATGGTAATCCTGCGGTATCTAACGGCTCTGGGATTGGTGCTCTCCTCGTTGCAGCAGGATAGTAACCCCTAAAATCATTCAATGTATTAGGATAATGATATTACCAGGAGCTTGGTACTTACCCGCTTGTCCCCTACTCCTGGCTTTTGACCTGTTCCATCCAGGGTAGCCAGTTTCCATCAGCCAATGGTAACCCTGCACCTCAAGATGTTCATTCCTGAAAATCAGAAATAATTATAAATAACTTCCATCAGATTATTTTGTTTTGGGTTGGTTAGGATAGGTTATGAGTATGGATTTACCTCTTGCCAGTGCAGAACATCTTCTGTGACTGAACCACAGCCAGTTCTTCTTTCTTTATATTCTGCTCCTTGGTTCTGCTTCCTCCTTCTTCTGCGTCTTAGTATGGAGACACAACCATCATCAAGACATTGTCAACAAGAGAAAGAGGTTGACAAGCAGTTGTGAGAGACAGGTTAGGATTGGGAGGACTTTGCCTCCAAAAATTGTAGGTGTCACCTGGATTCCCTTTTTTTGGCTTTAACCTCCAGTATAGCATGTGTGCTTAGGAAATTGCAGAATTTGCAGATTTGAAAGCCAAAAAGGAAAACTTGGAAAATATTAGAAGAATCAATCATTAAGTTGATTATTTCACAACACAGTGTGGATTTATAATATTTTCCTCCTGACTCACCAGTTTCTTGTCGAAACCTTCAGATAGGCCACATTTCATCCAAGGTAAGCCTCCCAGGAATCCTCCCTTTGGTCAGTCCAGTTACCAACATAATCAATGATTTTAGGCCTTCTTATTACCCCTTCAGTACCTGTGGAGCTGCTTTGAAAATACCTAGAGCCTACCCTCAAACCATCCCTGGTTTTGGTGGCCTATCCTCCAAACCCCTACCAATATAAATTGTCCCTATATGTAGAAATCTACAAGGTATAAGCTAACCAATCCTAGCTGCAACGGGGTTGGAGTGACATTGGCATATCATCCCTGGATGCTTGATCACAAGTAAGATCTTTCTTATTTATCAGCTTTGGCTGCCTTACCTGGTGAAGGTTGCAGACTGGCTTATTGGCCTGTGTAACACTGCATCCTTGCTTTGCATGCATGACTCTTGTGCTCACTTAGTATTAAGGATATATTGTGCTCACTTAGTATTAAGTCTATCTTGTGCTCACTTAGGATTAAGTATCTCTTGTGCTCACTTAGGAATAAGTACATCTTGTGCTCACATAGAATTAAGTATAGATGGTGCTCACTCCAAATTAAGCAAAGGTATTTATAAGTGTGAGACAAAGACAGCTGGGACTTCCTATCCATGTTCATATCAATGTAGGAGAATAAAAGTGAATACTGTATATATCTGTAGGGCGGTCATAGGATTCATTGATGCTCAGCTATAGGCCTGATTACTGAGTGCTGGAGAATCAGCACAGGAGTTGTCATGAAATTCATATAGAGTGCCCTCATTATCTTGGATCCTTGAGCTGGATTAATAATTGAATAGGACCATAAGAATAGTTCATCCAAATCATTTGTCTCACGTAATTATTATGTTGTTCTTGCATGTTTATCAAGTTTAATTATTGTTGTTTACAAAAATAGGGTTACCTTTGCGAATTGACATATGAAGTGATACGTGAACGTGACAGTCAGTTGAAGTTGAAGGATCGCAATTGTCATTTGTCAGCGTGTGTACGAGCAGTGTTGCCGGATGACCACTCGTGGTTCTGTCACAGATTAACAGACCTTTTTATTCTGTGGTTCCGTGCTAGATCCTTAGATCATTAATAAATCAAACCAAATAAACGTCACTTGAGAGTTGCCCTTCACGAAATTTAGTGTTCAACTTATTTTACCCACCCCTCTCCCTGAGCTGTATTCTAAATAACTATTTTCCAATCGCGGAAAATACGGAAACTCAACAAAAGGGATTCCCCGAGCAAGAATCCATCCTTTTGTTGCCTCTCGAGTACCGAGGGGTAACAACCTTTGCGGTCACTTGATGTTTCTTCTAATGAAACACCCTTTATATCATTCCATACTGGGCATTATGATATTTTTGGTAATATCTTTGCATTCGTGCGACATGCCCAATATCAAACTTGGAACCCCACCCACTAAGCAAAGTAATATTTCAACAAGTTGGGGGAAGAAGTGTCCCTAGCCCCACCTATTTTCCACTCCCCTGATCAAAATTTCGGAAAAATCCTAACATTTTCAAATTGAGCAAACAAAGTAAGGTACATGTAAAAAATTTGGGTATTTTATCACAAAGGGTGTCGAAAATATTTACAAACAACCATCATCTCGGACTCTCCTTCATATTGCTATAACCCCCCAGGGGACCACTTCTGGATCCATGTTTATATGGACTTTTTTCACTATTTTTGTTGATAGAATTGAAATATTTCTATGTAATTTCGGGACACCCTGTATGTAACGGTTTCAGCAAGTTACACCGAGTAAGAAATATTAATGAAAATGCTTTTCGAAATAGAAAACGCATTAACAATTATTCAGGGTTGATAGTTTTCATTGAAATGCACGGAATAATGATTATAATAATTTCAGAATTCTCCTCCTTCGGCGAAAGAGTTGTGGCGAATGAGTTTCCTACTTCTATACTTTTGATGGCTACAAGAGATGGAAATTCCTTTGTAAGAGCTACATCACTCAAGTGTTTACAAGAAATGACAAAAGTCGATGAATTATGGAATGTCCTGATACATGAAGGTCACATTTTGGTAAGTTACAAAAACATTATATCAGACACTCTTGGTGCATCTATCAATAATTTCTTTCTTCATAAACATTTTTGATAAACTAGAACCGAAAGAGCGGACAAACAATGAGATAACTTTATGACTTGTCACATTATTCGCCATAATTTTCTCGAAGTCAAAAAGAAGACGTTTCCTCTGACCGGAAACAAGGCAGAAAGGCGGATCTAGCGCCTACTTCTTCTCTAGTGCAATAACGTGTCCAGCGTTGCCACGCAGCAGTTATTAGACCTAGAGATTTCACGACGTCGACTCTTTCTTCACAACTTATGGTTGAGTGTCAGAGTCACATTACAATACATTATAACTTTATCTCAGTAGATTTTTGGAATTCCTCAGTCATGTAGTTATGCATTCAACATATTTTTCGTGAGAAAATGAAGGTGAATAATTTATATTTTTCCATCTTTAGGGAATTTGAGTGGATTGATTTCTATTTTTGTGATTTTTCAATCATATTTCACATATATGTGAATCAATGTGAATATAGCCTTTCTTTTTCTTTTATTGGAACCTAATTTCTGTTCTCTGGAAATCAAGGTGAATAATTGATTGGATTCCAGTTTATGGAATGTGAATGTATTGGTTTCCATTTTCTTATTTTCTTATTTAACACTCTGACTGCCATGTCAGTCATTTTGACCGACAGCTTGATTTCGTGCTGAGCCGATGCATTTTCATTGGTTCGAACGCATCAGGCCACGCGAAGTTTTCAGAGTAGGGGGCATCTAAGTGATCAGCATATTGCTGTTAAGACATTATAAAGTTGCTCTGGTGTACATAAGAAGACAAGCCAATTTTTTTCAATGTATATAAGTGAAAGTCATATTAGTTATTAATTTATCGATGAAATCACAGGGGTGGAAACATTTGCTATAACAGCAAAAGGATCAAACACCGAAAGCTAGAATAATTTTCAATTTGTTGAAAAATCTCGTGAAACAATATGTACAAGAAAGGGGGCTAAAAATGAGGTGAAGAGAGTGCGAACGCATTGAGAAGGCTGCCAAGAGATGCCTTCTATGTGCATTGAATGTCATGTCCAATAATAATTACATTCAGATAATATTCACGAGTTTCATCACATTTTATACAAAAAACGTTTTTGAGACATTATTGTAGCTAAAAATTTCATAGTGAGCGCCACAAAAAAATTCACATACGTTCATTTGAGCGCCGCGAATGCAGATCTAATGAAGAGATTTGAATGCATCGTCGGTCGTTTTCGCATAACACGGCTCGAACTGAAACTTCTGCTGTCGGTTAAAAATCACTGCAAAGCACCGTTTTTTATAAGTCACGGTCGGTCACATATGGCTGACAAAGCCTGCAATAGAGAGAGAAAAACAGGGTACCGGCAGACAGAGTGTTAAATCTATTGTCTGTGAGAAGATCAAGGTGTTGATTTGTTCGATTTTTTTAGGAAAAAATAATACGGATATTGTATGTGGAACAAGAAGGAATTGTCCGGACAGAAGCAGCAGCCTTGATTGATTCCATCTATACGAATCGTGAAGTTTCTGTGGTTACTTTATCCAAATTTTATGATATTATGCATCATGCTGTCATAGCGGACCTACACTGGGAAACTCGAGTGAATGCTTTACAATTCTGGAAAAATGTTATCAATAGGCATCTGTTCCAACAAGGCATGATAGATGGGGATTTTCCAGAATTTACATTTTCGAAGGAGAAGCGTAAAATTATTAATTTGAATGAAGTAGAAGTAAAAATGAGGCTTATCAAAGTTCTCAATCAACTTTCCGAAAACGGTTGCTTGTCAGCCTTTCAATTCGCCCTTCAAGATGATTGTGATTTAGAGGTAACAAAATATGCGACCGACGCTGTGAACGATTTTGTATTACTTCTGAAGAAGTACAGGATAACTACTTGTGATGTATCTACAGACACCACGATATCTAAACCCTCTCATCATAGTCCACAGCCGGATACATCCAAATCGCAACCAAATAGAAATTTCGCGAGTGTAAATAGTAGTTGTTCGAGTTCAAATGATTCTGTTATGGATGAAGTCCTCGATTCTCTCGATGCGAATCTCCTTGAATCGATTTTCAATTCCCTCGATCAGCCCCCAGATGATTTTGTGGAGATGCAAGGTCGAAGAATGTTGTCGCCAAACAAGTTTTTGGAATCCGTCTATTCGGATCTAGCTTATCATGTGGAACAGAAATCGAACTGGATTGAGAGTATCGATAATTTCAATTCACTGTTGGATGATATTCTGAAGGAGTATGATGTGAATGAAATTAACGAAATGGATTGTTACTAAATGACTTCCCAAACCGAGGTATGGGTTTGAAAGAATATTTTAAATGTGGTTATTGGCCATTAGCTGAGTTTCTTCATTCCATCGTAGTATTGATATTTCGATATATACAGGGTCCGGAAATGTTTTGTCGTGAATGATAGGGCTGATAGAGTGGCCCAAAAATAATGCTAGTATGTATAGTGTTTATTGTAAATAAAGTGAATTGTAAAACCGAAATGAACTTCTCCGCTCATCAAAGAGACCCGAAACGCAAACGCTTCGTTACCGATATACAGAGCGTTTAAGTTTGAAGATTATTTCATTTTCCAGCAACTGTTATGAAAAGTGAAGGTTTGTTAGGTTTATTATTTTTCAGGTGATGTTTGAAAACTTGTAATTAAAATCAAAAACTAAATGTTTATAGTGTTTTTTGTTTTAATTGTGATAATATAGGTTGCTCCTTTTTTTGAAAATATCTATAAAATGTGGCGAATTACAATTGATAACGGTCGCAGATGCATGAAAATTTAAAAAAGTTTAGTAACGGAACAAACAACTCATTTCGTGTTTCAAAATCTACAAGTGGCGTACCACAAAAAAGTTCATGGAACGGAAATGGACTCGAACCCTGAAAAATTATGTCCCTATGTGACAAATTTGATCTGAATATCTTGACATCTTAATGAGCTATGAAGAAATAAAGGAAACAAGGAAAACAATTAACGCTCTGTAGATTGGTAACGAAGCATTTGCTGACAAATGTGTATAGGAAAAGTAGTCTTATTTTTATATGAAAAATAGGCCCCTGAAGTTTGAAACACTCTGTATATTTGACATTTGAAATGCGGTACTACTCACATTAATATACTCACAGATCTTTTTCGAACCACTTCAAAGTTGAACCTTGGGAAAAATGATTTTATTTGGTATCTTAGAATCATACGGTTCATAAATAACAAACACACTAACAAAAAATCATGTTGATCATCAGAACTGGAGTCATTGTCATCGTCAGGATGAATAATAATTGAAATTACAGAAGGCAAGCTACAAGTTATAAGGGTTATCATTTTTTTTATAACATGTTGAAGATTCTGATGGTTGCTTCAGTTCTCCAATAATAAACCATAACTAATTCCCACGTTTTTTCATTTCATACTTGACCGTTTTAATTTGATTATCAACAAGCACTATTCAGCTGTACATAACAACAACCTACCAACCCTAGACATTCGTTTCATAATTCACTATTATGAATTTTCATCCAATATCACAAGGTGATACCTGAATGGTGTATATTGTACTTCAATATTCTCCCTGAATGAACATTTTCAAACCTAATTTAGCTACTTATGGTACAAACTGATTTTTCGATAACGGCTTCGTGAACATATAAGCTAACTGCTCCCTGCGTTACAAAATCAAACTTAGTATACATATGTTTCAATCTTAATTCCAATACTTGTGATTTTTTTTCAATCCATATAATGGATTCAGTTAATTCCAAAACTGGTAAATAAATATTTTCAAATATTTCTTCTGTTGATATCCACGTACCAATTGCTTTACAATTTTATTTCACGTGACTTCTGAAGTTTCATATTCTCAGTTAACTGCCTTTCTCCATTACTTTTCGTATTCTCTTCCTTCAATTTCTTCTCAACTAAAGAGTAGATTTTTTTGATTTATAAATAGTGCAAATACAGCTTCATCAATCATCATCCTCACTGAATACCTATCAATCACCATAATCTAGGCATTTTTGTTTCCTGATTGTTATTTTCTGTATATTCCTTCATTGAGTTATTGTTTCCGTTCTGTCTTTCTCCCTTATTTGTGTTCTTTACCCTATTGGCTGCTGTATCAAATAGTCGATATGTAGGACTATAACCTATCATAACCATTTTCTTACCTGCATTATAGTATTATCTAATTATTGTTTTTTCTCTTAGTATACATGCTTATATGCAACACAACGAAAAAGTCATATTTGACACATCTGGCTTTCTACCAGTCCATTATTCACTAGCTGTTACCTCTTTTCCAACTGACGGACTGTATTGATATTCCTCTTCCTGCTTAATACCACAAAATCTTTGAAATATGAACACATATATTCTTCACTATTATCTGATTTTCTTGTTGTCAAATAATATACCATAACGAAATGATAGTCAATGAATGTTTGAAAAATATATGCATTGTCCATGACTTTAGGTAGCAGCTGTTGAGAAATCCATTTCTCAAACAAATTCGCAGTCATATCTTGTATGGTATTCACCAGAGGATTCCTTTATGTTTTTGGCCGACGGACAATACTTTTTCAAAGGCCGCAAGCGCGAGATTACTAAACTGGGTACACTTTCTTATTGACGTTTAATCCGGCGCTCTGATTGGTAATGAAAATTTGTCGTCGTAATACGAATCAATGACATGGCACAGTGGACTGACTACATTATCCAATGTTTTGAAGTTTCCAATAAATCAACAATTCGTTTTTTTTTTTCAACCAATGTTAATGTATATGATAGGTACCTATTTATATTTGTGTTTGAAAAGCACGCAACTATAAGTCGCTTTCAATAAGAATAAAACATTTTGAGAGTTCTTTTTCCAGCCAAGGATGATCTGAATCTTATTCAGAATGAATCCTGAATTTCAGTACTAACTTAGTGATCTTTGTGGTCATAATTTTCATTCCAGAAATGAAACATGAAATACCTATATCATCAAATGTGGTTTCTGTAGTAAGCAGTAGGTATTACTATTCACAAAATGTTGCAGTGAAATAATTTGTCATAAAAAAAAATTATGTACCTGAGTAGTTGTTTTATATTTTTATTTCAATGTTGTGAAGAAGTGGGTGCATAGTGTATGTATTATGTCTCATAGGTAGATACCTAATTTTCATGTTCCTGTCCAGGCCAAATGCTAGGAAATGAGTTTCCTTTGTTTTTATATCGAAAGTTCAATAAATATAATACATATATAATATATATTTACATTTGTCCTGTGATTTATGACAAAATATGATTTCTTCATGAGTTAAGTATTTCAATATATCTTCAGGTATAAATTTTTTTTGATTTAGTATATCCTTCTTGGCTATCATTCAAGACATCTGTTAGCTTCCTTTTATAATAATCAATTAATTGTAGAGTTAGGAAACTGAGTATAATGTCCTTCAATATTCTGAAATTTGCTTCAGCATAATTATTTGTATCATTACCCCTTGTAATCAATGTTCTTCTGTAGCACATAGTCATTCTGATGCTCTTGAATGCATCTTTAGAAAATACTTGAGGGCTTATTCATACTTCTGTATCAGTGGGTTACCAAAACTCTCTTTATACTTTGTTTCAAATAAATCACAATCTGTGGTATTTAGTTACTTGTAAATATTTCTTTACGGTAATCTGAAGATATTTTCATGCCTTGAGACTCAGAAATATCATGGCAGCCTGTAGTACTTGAAATTCACATAAAAGTAGTTTGGATTTAGGAAAACTAGCACTCAGAGCATTTTTCTCAGCTGTACTCTCATCTGTGAAGGATATTCACCTCCATAAAAAGCAATTTGTGGACAACCAAAAGACCCCTTCAAAACATTTTCAAACTTTGAAAATGTGATTATTATTATTCTTACAATAAATGCTCAATCAACTGAAGGACAAAGAAAACATAGTAATCTTGAACAATGGTGATTCATATTTCCACATGATCCATGAATTCGTTTAAAAAAAGGATCACTTCCACTGCAGATTGAATTGGTAAGCCTGCCATGCTGAAGATGGAGAATTACCTGAACTAAATAAGTCATGAAATACTTCATTTGGTTTTCGATATTTGAAGGCTGATGCTTTCTCATGATTATGGGTACGACAACAAAATTTCACAATGCTTTTCCTTCAATTCTGTTCTTGCACTGCTGAAAAGAGGAGGATTACTCATTACTGTAGGTGATTAACATACTTGATTCGACTACTAATTTTTCCAGTTGTTGTTTCATTGTTATCTTTGATTTTGCATTGCAATTTGTATGGTTTGCATGAGTTGTAGAAAGTTTCTTTGGCAAAGTGTTGTGGGTGACATCTATAATCTTTCTGCAAGAATTCTATATTTCTAAGATATATAGAGAATATACTTCAACTACCTATCACCATGAAATATATTCATTTCGTTTCCTCTGCATGGACATTAGTGACAAATTCTCAAATTTCTTCAGTCATTAATTATAGCTCCCGATTTGCTTGATATTGTGTTGTATTTTGATGTCTTCATTGAAAATCTTATTCACAAATATGAATATGTTGAGTCGATTGTATTTTCCAATTCTCCAAAACTATCTTGACATGAAACGTCATCTATCATATATTCCCTGATTATACAGGGTGATACTAAACTAATAATTGTAAATCACATTAACTAATTGAACATAACACTTCTCCTCGTCGGCATTCAAAGATTCAACCTTTCTGGCTTCTTCATCAATCTCGAAGATCGTCGTAATTGTGGCTCTGCAAAGTTGGTGTTATCTGTATCGGATATTGTTTCAGCTTCCGGAGATTTGTCCACGGTCTTCGTAATATCCGTCTCCGCGGATCGTTGATCTGATTCGGCTGCTGAAGTATTTGAAGGTTCTTGATTCGGTTCAACTCCTGAGGTATCTGCTGTTTCTGAAACAACCGAACCTTCCGTTGGTCGATCTGTGGGATCTCCATGAGAAATCGATCGATAATTTGAAGCATTTGGCCCATTGTAAATACTTGATCTCATTTGATCAACATGTCGTGTAATTGTTTTTCCCTCTACTGATACTTCATAATGGCGTGTTCCTTCTTTCGCTATGACGGTACCGAATTTCCATTTCGATTTTCCATCGTACGATCGTATTTGAACCGAATCTCCGATTTGGAAAGATCTTGTTTCTATTCTAGGTTCCAATTTGTTGCCATCACCTTTTGAATCTACGATACGTTTAACTAAATCAATACGTGTCCTGAATTGTCTCTTGAACATGAGTTCAGCAGGACTCAATCCAGTAGTACTACTTGGAATTTTCCTATGCTGCATAAGTAGGCGGCATAATTTGATGTTCAAAGGTTGCGGGTCGTCCATCATTGAAGAGTGCTTTCAATTGAACTGGATGATTTGTCCTCATACTTATTATTCCCATGAAACAATTGACGTATATGTTTATAACAGTGAACATTAAAAAATAAACCATAATGTATTACATTATGATGATTGTGGAACTGAATTGTACTGGACATATGGCATTTCTTGGGGAGTGCGAATGTTGGTATAGGTATAATAGGTACATCATCTTACGTCTACACACTGTCTCGTTATCTGTTACCAATCAGAGAGCCGGAATAAAAGCCCGCAAAAAAGTGTATCAGGACCAGAAATCTCGCGCCGCAGGCAACCCGCGGGCTTTGGCCCATACCTGAGCTATATTATTTTCAGTTATTAGTAGTATGTAAGTTAAACATATTGTACTATATTCTTACATCGTAAATTCATGTTACGATTAATTTATCTACTTATATATTATATATACATTTGGGTACTAAAAAAATTACAGAATAAGTATAACTTGTTATTGAAATAGGATTTTAGAAGAATATATTTGATATAA